ATTACTACTATAAGACTTTAACAACCAAGCATCTCATTAGAGCTCTAGCGTACTCACGTTGAAATCAGTAAGATAAAGGGGCAAATTAGACAATTTCGAAATTTTTTTATCTAACTAATCTGGATATAGAGGAGACCTCATATCAGCCCTGAGTTGCCGCAAACGGCTGGCCAGATTTAGGGTAATGCAAATATTAAATTTAAAAAAACATTATCAAATAGCTAGAGAAAATAAAAAGTGCTTGATAGCGAGGTTTTTTCTAAGCCTAGACAGAAACTTAAACCCAAGGCAATTCGAAAGCAAAAATTTGAGCCATATATGAGAAAAGAATCATCGTATTAAGATGATTTTGATAGGTATTAGAGGAAAAAACGCCTTGAGTCGATGAATTATAAGCTGCTTTCCGATCGGCTCAAAATTCAATAGCAAAATTATCTTAGAAGGTAATTTTGAATCCCCTCAAAGGGCATTCAAATGAGGAAACTTGAAGATGGCAAGACAAGTTAATTTAGGAAGATAGTGGGGGGCTGCAAATGAGAGCTGCAAACTGAGATAAATTTTATAGTGGAGCTCCAAGCGAGGCTAATGGATCTTACCTGTCGGTCATACATTTTTTCCTCCATTGTGCCTTGAGCGATAAGCCGGTAAATATAAACGGGTTTTGTCTGACCAAAACGATAGCTCCGGAAGATAGATTGGATGTCATTACTGGGATTCCATGATACATCAAACATGATAAGTCTGTTTGCAGAAACAAGATTGATGCCAAGACCACCTGCCCTAGTTGAAATAAGGAAGAGACGGAGGCGGCGGTTACATACACTATTGAAACGAGACTGCAGCTCCTTGCGAGTAGAAGCATTCATACTACCGTCCATTCGCTCATAATCTTTACCCTTTATCCAGCTATTGTAGCCAAGGTCCGAGAAATATTGTGAAAGATCTGGCCTGTTTCGTGTATCCTCCTCAGACTCGTCGTTGATTTTAGGTTCTGGTACTTCACCCTAGGATTTAAAAAAGTAAAATAACGAGAGGTTGCAATTTCCAAAATATACAAGCACTATATGTAATAAAGGGGGACTAATTAAATACTTACCTCATGAATTAACCACTGTCGATGCATTTCTCTGAGAAATTTCTCTATCAGATCCAATGACATAAGACTTTGTGTAAAAACTAGAACTTTGTCATCAATGTCTGCACATTTGCGCAAAATACGGAAAAGACAGTCCAATTTCCCTCCAACATCAACCCGCCAATCGAAATCATCAGAATAGTAAGAATGCCACCAAAGCTGCTTAGAAGACTTAACTTCCTCAATGTGATCATTATTTTTGACACTGCTAATGTCCCTTTTTCCACGGCTAGAGCAGCCAACAGTCTCAAGAGAAAACCCTAATGAGGCTTCATTATGCAACTCCTCGTCTTCTGATAAGAGGTTGATAGTCATATTGGTAGATTGGGAAGGCGTTTCAATAGCACATGTGGACTTGGAAGAAATAAACGAAGTACGGGAACGAGTATTTCGCGAGCTGACTGTCTTGCGATCAACATCAGCATCACCTTTAGAACATGATGAAGAAATGCCAGATATTTTTTTAGCATCTTTTGGTGTTTCATCATCCCCATTATTATCACCATCCACATCATTATCACCATCATCGGAAGAAGAATCTGATTCTGATTCGTCAGTGTCATTGATGAAACTATCGTCACTCTCATCTTCTAGAAGGAGCTTAAAAAATTAGAAGAATTATTTAATTAGGCAATATCTATATAATTCAAAGTAGTATAATTTTGCAAAATAAAATGTGAAAAGTCCAATCATGAAATAATTTTATTGTAAAATAATTGTGAAAGGACTTTATATCATAAAATGCCTAAGTACCGTTGTATCTAAGCGGGTGTAAATGATAAACAAAATAAGGGGTCAATTCAAGATAAACTTTTAAAATAACCATTGAGACTTTTTAGGATCTAGAGGTAGCTAAATTCGAGATTGTCATGAAATAGGGGATCACATAGAGTACTGCTCAAAGATAAAGGTGACCTGGTAAGATACAAGTAAAGATATTAATTCATATTTAAAAAATCGATGGAAGATTTGGCTTTAGCACAGATAAATCTAGAATATTATTGATTGAAAACAATGGAAGTATCAACAATACATTTTTCCACGAAACGAATAGCTGGTTTAAATCAATTTCTCTCATAATCTAGAGTATGGTTATATCTTTTGCGGTAATGAATAGACTAAAATGGCTCTAGATAAATAATGTATTTTTCTTACAATAAAAAAAGGGTAAATGAAAACTAAGTGGGCTCCAAATAATAAAATATACTTTTTAAATGGTCTCTTACTAATAACTATATTAGTCTCTCTTTATATTTAAAACTATGTAAACGGAATCTACCTAAAAGTTGCAAGTACAAACTTTTACTGGCTTAATAAAATCTCAAAGCGGAGTAGTTTAACCACAGTTAATCTATGTCTAAGGTATCATGAACTCTATTCAGATGAGAAGGAAATAATCGAGACTACCTTGGCATGCTAGACCAAGATGTGCTCAAAACGTTTGGCTAATCTGCAACAAGACGGAAGTTAAGCACAATTTTGTCAAAGACGAAGGATAATTTCCAAAGGACTGCTGCGATTTCAATGAAGTTCATATAAATGTGGAAAAGACTCTAGATTAAACTTAAGTCTCTAAGTCTGATCAAATGAACTCCTGGACACAAGTATTTAAAGAGTGGTATTACAATATGATTTAATTCTTCTGCAAAAGCTGAAAAATTTATTCCCCTTGTGTTGTAGGCATAAGCTGACAATCAGTCCTCATATAAATGATTAGGAAAGCACAAAGGC